CTTAAATATTTAGCTAGTCACCTAAATATTTAACTTAAATATTTAGCTAGTCACCTAAATATTTAACCTAAATATTTAGCTAGCAAGTTCAATATTTATCTAGCCACCTAAATATTTAACTTAAACATTTAGGTGGCTAGCTAAATATTTACTTAAATATTTAGCTAGCCACCTAAATATTTAGCTAGCAAGTTCAATATTTAGCTAGCCACCTAAATATTTAACTTAAATATTTAGCTAGCCACCTAAATATTTAGCTAGCAAGTTCAATATTTAGCTAGCCACCTAAACATTTAACTTAAATATTTAGCTAGCTACCTAAATATTTAACCTAAATATTTAGCTCAAAACTAAATATTTAAGTCACAAGTTAAATATTTATCTTGTTAACTAAATATTTAATTTGTAAGTTAAATATTTAGTTTATAAACTATGACATTTATAAATGTATGAATCAAATGATGAAAAACTGACTTTGAAAAATAAATCTGTTCTTTTTTTCTTATAAAAGGTTAAATAAAACAAAAATATTGGTGGTAAGTTTTGACTGTGTAACTTTACAAACAGCACCACATACGATTATACCATGTTTCCATCAACAGTTTTTGTTTGCATTTTGAAGAATGGCCTTAGAAAAGGTTGATGGAAACGACAAAAACTTCCTCAATTTTGCAAAAACATTGACACACTTGCTTGAGGTGGTTTTTGGATTTTCCACAAAGAGAGTTAATGGATAAAAGATGGAAACAGATTTACTGAATAAGTTCTGACATAATAAACATTTACCTCACATGATTAATCATTATCAAGTCTTCACACTTCATTCATTCACACACTGATGGTGGTAAGCTACATTGTAGCCACAGCTGCTCTGGGCCACACAGACAGAGGTGGACACATTGAYTGAACAGGGRATTGAACCAGCAACCCACCGGTTACAGGACAACTCCTCTACCACTCTGCCTCCTGCTGATGTTTTCATGGTTTGACCAAATCTGCTACAACTTCATCWTTTATCATCAGGTTTTAGTGTAAAAGACAGGAATTTATGATTCCTGCAAAGGAAGCTCAGCTTTTAACTAATGACAGGTTTCAGGTGACAAAACTGTGACAGCTTTGTATTTTCATCTGAACCTACAAGGAAGTTCATGAGTTTTAAGCATCGACCACAGAGAGTGAGGAAACCCGAACACATCGTCTCTGGGATTAGCTGGGCCGGGCCGGTTCCAGCTGAATGTCCGTCTGCACGGACGCTGAAAGACTAAACTGCTTTCAAAGGCTTCCAGAGACAAAGAACATCGACAGAGAAGAGAGGAAAGGTTTCTAATGTGGGAGCTCAGGGACAACAAGTAAATAAATATTTTAATCAGTGTTAACTTCTGAAGGAGCAACAAAAAACTGATTTCCTGATAAAAGATTAAAGTTTAATCTTCAACAAAGGTCAGCAGCAGGTGAGAGGCAGAAACAAGATCTSAGGTGTTTGTCAAGGAGCAGGAAATGGGTCCAAACTGGCTCAATATGAAGAAACATTAATCAGAAACACACAGGATAGAGATTAGGTTAGAGGAGGAAGTACAAATTAACTTTCATTTACTGAGAAAAGCAATAAAAACATCTCTGGAATCTGAAAACCTGTTATTCAGCAGAACACACGCGTGCCCTTTTGTATTTGTTTTATTTTTGAAGTATCATATCTGTTTCCTGTTCCACCTGTGTCCATGTGCAATGCATTAAACTTGATGTCTAGGMCCTCCTCTTTTGATTGACACCTCATTTGACCAACTGGGTTCAAGTTTCACCTGTCTAGGGCCAATAATTTATCAGTGGTGACCAACTTCCAGTTTTCGTCTTTCTAACTTTGATTGACTGTAAAATCGGCCAATCAGCTCCGAGCTTTGTTCTGATGCCACAGCTGTGTAGCCAATCACCGTACCTTTCTTTTAGTGTATATAAACGGGGGTGGGAACTTTGTTAGTGATGGAAGATGTCAACACACYGGAGGCGGCCATGTTTCAGCAGTGTTACTACGCTAACGCTCACAGGAAAACGTTGTTTTCCATCGTTTTTTGTCCAGTTAGCTGACGAAACCTGCTGATAAGATGAAAATATATTTGTTATTAAGTGTTTCGAGTGCTTCAAGACGTGGAAAAATGATTTTTTGTGGCCAGGAGAAGTAACTTTATTTGGATAAAAAAGACTTCCGGTCGCCATTTTGAATCGCTAATTTGGACATATTTGAGGACAAATATGCATCAAATGTGAGTAAACAAATATATTTTCGCTGCAGGTGGTTTTATAAGCTGTGTGTAATGTTAATGCTCTGAAAGATATAAGGATATATTGTTTATTTTTGTTGTTTGGCTGGTTATTGGTGGAAATTTGTCTGAAAATAGTGTTGGTGTAAATATTTATGAATATTAATATATATATTTTAATTTAATCATGCTGTGAGTAAATATGGATGGTAGAATGTGTTTTGTGGGGATTTTATCTTTAATTTGAGCTCAGAGTGAAGTCCTTGTGTTGAAATTAGAGCGTTTTAGACAAACTGTACAGTTTGGACATATAAATGAGTACAAATATGCAAATGAGACATGCTGGATTGTACTATGTCTCAAATATTCATATTTTATGCTACTGTTACCAAATTTGAACTGGTAATAGTTGAGAATTAATATTTTAGCCCAGTAAAATTTGTTTGATAATATCTCATTCCCTTCATATTTATTAGGATTGCCATGCYAATGGCAACCTATTACTGTCCACCTCTGAACTGGTCTATAACTTGGCCGAACATGAAGAATATGAAACGCCAACAGTAAGCCAGAGATGAAGGTACGAAGAAAAAAACAAAACAAAAACTTGACTATTGTTATTATACATGGTCACAGAATATGACAGCTGTCATTTATTGTGACTTCACTGTAGCTAAGGAAATAGTAAAAAAATTATTCAAAAACTATTTATACTAATTGTTTACATCATCTAGACTAGTGTCAGAAAAATAACTTTTGATCACTGACATGCTGACTGTTATTAAATTAGTACAGGGTCACATAATATGATGGCTGTTATCATGTATAGTAGTAATAATAGAAGTAGTAATAGTCAACATGCCAGTGATCAGAAGTTATTTCTTTGACATTAGAGGATGTACACAATGAGTCGAATCAGTTTATAAATAAATATTTTTACTATTTACCAACACCTCAGCGTTACACTTTTGGCGTATCATATTTTTCTTTGTGGCTATTTTCGRCCAAGTTTTGTTGTAGAAATGCAACAGCGCCCCCTCTGGTTACAATATACGACGGTCACAAAATGTGGTGTAASAACTGCAGCTCCGGCAGGTTCACAGTTGTGTCTCTCAATGCTTTGTTTGATAACAAAAACAAATAAAAGGCTCACGTTCCATAAAAGAATGCTTATCAGGTGGAGCCGTGAAAGATATTCTGTGAGATCTGATGCAGAAGTGTCACTTTTTATCAGATTTATCAGCACTCAGAGACTGTGGTCTGTTAAACATCTCAGGTATCAAACAAAAATCATTTATTTTCAAAGAGGCTGACAGGGCAGTTAAAACAGCTCACTGATAATAATAAAACTAATAAAAATAGGACAGAGTGAACTTTAACTGGTCTGGAACACACATTGGACAAACAAGGAGAAGACAAAACAGAATATAAAGAGAAAACCAACAAAAATAAAAGAAGAAAGGAAAATAAACTCACAAAAAGAAAATAATTTTTGTGTTGTTGCAGCTGTTTGGAGACTGTTGAACTCCAGAAGTTGTGAAAGTTCACCAGCTGATTACTTTTTAACTGTTTTAATAAAACGTGTCCAATCTCCAACAATTAAAGCTTTAAAAACAGGTCAGTTAGCGCTCAGAGTTTGAGCTGGTTRTGACTCTCAGCTGTAGAGGAACATCTGCTGATCACTTTTTGAGCATTATGTTAAACTCTGTCCATTGGTCCATGAGATAAATAACAGTAAATAAAAAAAAAAAATACTTTTCGTTTCAGCAAAAACGATGAAAAAACTCAAGATGCACTTTTCAGTTTAACTTTATTGTAAGACAAAAACAACCAGAAATAACCACTTGACCTGACAGATTTAGGAGGGAACCTGTTAATTATAGAGGATATATAGATTTAGAACTGAGCATTTCATCTTATAATGTTATAAAACAATAAAGTCACAGGCACTAGTTTACATCTTCAAAAATACAACCAGTTTTCAAACCACAGAAGAACTTTAATTCTTTTACTAACCTCAACCTTTGTATTTTCAGAACATGAGAATCATTAAAATCACAAACACCCTAAAAATTCCTTTAAAAAGAAGCAAACAGGAATTTATTCTGTGTCAGAGGTCGGCAGGCGTTCATATTTAGCTTTGTTCCTTCTTGATCTGTAGAGGATCACTCCACATGCCAAGAGGCAGCCCACAATGAAGACCAGGTTCAGGCCCAGGTTCAGGCCGGGCCCGGATGCTGGGATGGATGGATGGATGGATGGATGGATGGATGGATGGATGGATGGATGGATGGATAAATAAATAAAAAAGTAAATATGCAAGTAAGTAAATACATAAGTAAAAACACTACTTTGTGGAAGAACACTAAAAGCTGAATGACTGAATCTAACGAATCTGATTTGTTAAAGCTACATGAAGCAGAACATAGCTAAAAGCCAAAAGTAGCTAAATGCTACATCCCACCAGCCTACAGAAGGTATGCTTYATGACCTAACCACTCCACACACTCACCTTTGGTGTCAGAGGTCCTAGCAAGGTGCAAAGGCCCCTGGGAAATGGAGTGCGAGTTGGTCTGAGCTGAAGCTGCCCTCTTACTGAGACGATGCCCTGAGTTGGATGTGATGCAGCCCTGAGAGCACCGAGTTCCAGCAACACCAGTCTCACATAGCATGACGGAGCAGGTAATGTAGACCTGCAGACACACCGAGGAGGAGACAGCGGTTTATCTCCTAACTGTAAGGTTTTTCACATTCAAATGTATTGTTTAGGAAAACAGAGGTATCTTATACTGAGCATAGTATAAAATCTGAAATGCTGAAGGACTGCACCTCGTCATGAGTGCCGATGAACTCGAAAGTCTCCATTCCAAATCTGAACTGAGACTTGGAACTGGGGTAGATTTGTACCGTTTTGTCCCTCACACACCTGTCACACACCAGTTAGACTGAGTTAAAGACGGTTTCTCACAGTAATCAGTAAAACACAGAGGTCTTGGTCTACAGACCCATTTTCAATGATGGTGTATCTGATACGGGAGTTGGGGTTGTCGTAGGGAGTGGCCCTGCAGGACTCCACGAACAGCTCCGTGTTGGGGATGGACATGGTGGCCTCTATCTGCATGAAGATCATCTGCTTGAGGTAAACTTCCACCGGGTAGCTGCTGGGGTCCACTTGTTTTCTGAAGTTTTGGCTCTCAAAGAATTCAAACTGGAAGGTGAAAGCACCGAAGCCTTTCTCTCTGAAGGCGTACGGGTTTTTGTGCGAGAAGCCCAGAGTCAGGTTGGCTCTCTTTGGATAYGAGCAGGTGATGGCGAAATCAACATCATGGGCCCGGGTGATAACTTTATTTGGATCAGCAGATGTGATATCATTCTTAAARTAAATGTTATCGGCATCCTCCTAATGAAAACATACAGGAAAATGAATGGTAAATTTATACCTATAGTGTAGCCTATAACACAAGTTTGCTCTACTGACAAAGATGTTGGTAAAAATAGTTAAAATAGAAAAAACTAAACTAAGTCTTGTTTCTTCTATCTATGCGTAAATATTAATGACTGAGTTGTATTATTTGTGCACTGTACCTCTACACGAGTCCCACAGGTGCCCAGGGGTAAAACAGCCACCAGGTGAGTTTCATTTGAGAGTCTTGTCAGGCTGCAGGAAGGATCAGTGAAGTCATTAAGACGCAGATTGTCCTCGTTGTGTCTGATGTTGTAGGTCTTTGCTATTTCCACCGTTATTGTTGTTTCATTGCAGGTCACAACAACCTCTACACAGGAGATGATGATATTTAATCATAATCAGTTATTTAATTAGGAAAATTCACTTGGAGAATGAATTTGCAGAGAATCTACTGAAAAATATATTATGAAGAACCAAAACTTAAATAAAAATGTGAGTAAAAACGGTGCTACTATGGGAAGAATTTCTATCCGTTCATTATCTTCTGCTTATTCCGAGTTGGGTCCATCCTTACCAGATGAACCACCTCAACTGTTTKCTCTCGATGTGGAGGAACAGCACCTCTACTCTGAGTCTCTCCAGAATCACTGAACTTCTCACCCTGTCTCTAAGGGAGACAGACACCCTGCAGGGAAAACTCATTTTGACCTCCTTCATTTGCGATCTTTTTCTTTCGGTCACTACCCAAAGTTTGTGACCATAGGTAAGGGTAGGAACGTAGACTGATCAGTAAACAGAGATCTTCTCTTTACAGCTCAGCTCCCTCTGAACCACAACAGACCGATACAGAGTCTACAACGCTCCAGAAGCTGCACCGATCCGTCTACCAATCTCACGCTCCATTCTTCCCTCACTCAWGGACAAAATCCCACAACATTGAACTCCTCCGCTTGAGGCAGAACCTTACCTCCAACCTGGAGATCAATCCACACTTTTCTGACTGAGGACCATGACTTCACACTCGGCCACATCATCTGCAAACAGCAGAGCTGGAATCCTGAGACCACCAAACCGGACTCCCTCCGCCCCCTGGCAGCACCGAGAACTTTTGTCCATGTAAGTTCTGAACAGAATCAGTGTCAACAGGCRGCCTTRGAGTCCATCTTCCACCATGAAGGGKTCGCACTTACTACCAGAAATGTGAACCAAACTCTAACAAAGCTTGTGTAAGAACTGRATGACCTGTAACAACGGATCCACAATCAGTCACCACCACAATGCTCACTGAGCATCTCTCGCAGTGTACCTCAAGGAACATGGTCGAATGCCTTCTCCAAGTCCACAAAACACATGTAGACTGGATTAGCAAAATTCCATGACCTCTGGAGGACCCTGGTGAGGGTAAAGAGTTGGTCCAGTGTTCCACGGCCAGGACAGAATCCGTATTGTTCCTCCAGAATCTGATGTTCGACTATCGATCGCACTCTCTTCTCCAGTGCCCCTGAAAAGGCCTTACCTGGAGGCTAAGGAGAGTGATGTCCCTGTAATTGCAGCACCCCCCAGTCCCCCTTTTTAAAGAGTAACTTACCCCAAAATTAACTTTGTTTAGCTGATAAACTGTCTAGAATGTGTCTAAAATGTTATATAGTACTGTT